TATCTGTGTTTTGTTGGTCACAGAGGAATGATCCTGGCTCTATCTGAGGCATTTATGTTTGAAAATCTAACAATACTTCAAGGGTGTGAAAAGTAGTCTTTTTCATACATGCTTCCAATAAAACACACACACATTACATGCCGACCAGTAGAAGAAGCAGGCTTAGCGCTAATGAACCCCCTGAGGCACATGACTGGCACTAATCTGGGTGTGATTAGTCAGGTCTGGCCCGGGCAGCCAGGCTGCACGCAGCGAGCCCAGATGAAAGGGATGATTGAGAGCCAGGTACATGTGGAGTGGATAAGAGAGTAGGAGTTAGAGTGGCCGACTCAGCCTGGTGCATTAAGCAGAGCTAATGAGCCCCCAGAAGGACCTGAGACACTCCTTCAGAGCAGGAGGGTTTAGCACCTGATCTGCACTCTGTCTGTCTGTCTGTCTGTCTCAGTCGGGCTCTGCTGATCACTGCTCATTTAGACAGAGAACACTCCCTGGCCATCATACAGAGAACACTCCCTGGCCATCATACAGAGAACACTCCCTGGCCATCATACAGAGACACTCCCTGGCCATCATACAGAGAATACTCCCTGGCCATCATACAGATACACTCCCTGGCCATCATACAGAGACACTCCCTGGCCATCATACAGAGACACTCCCTGGCCATCATACAGAGAACACTCCCTTGCCATCATACAGAGACACTCCCTGGCCATCATACAGAGAACACTCCCTGGCCATCATACAGAGAACACTCCTGGCCATCATACAGAGACACTCCCTGGCATCATACAGAGAACACTCCCTTACCATCATACAGAGACACTCCCTAGCATCATACAGAGACACTCCCTGGCCATCATACAGAGAACACTCCCTTGCCATCAGACAGAGAACACTCCCTGGGCCATCATACAGAGACACTCCCTGGCCATCATACAGAGACACTCCCTGGCCATCATACAGAGACACTCCCTGGCCATCATACAGAGACACTCCCTGGCCATCATACAGAGACACTCCCTGGCCATCATACAGAGAACACTCCCTTGCCATCATACAGAGACACTCCCTGGCCATCATACAGAGAACACTCCCTGGCCATCATACAGAGAACACTCCCTGGCCATCATACAGAGAACACTCCCTGGCCATCATACAGAGACACTCCCTGGCCATCATACAGAGAACACTCCCTTACCATCATACAGAGACATTCCCTAGCCATCATACAGAGACACTCCCTGGCCATCATACAGAGAACACTCCCTTGCCATAAGACAGAGAACACTCCCTGGCCATCATACAGCGACACTTCCTGGCCATCATACAGAGAACACTCCCTTACCATCATACAGAGACACTCCCTAGCCATCATACAGAGACACTCCCTGGCCATCATACAGAGAACACTCCCTTGCCATCAGACAGAGAACACTCCCTGGGCCATCATACAGAGGACACTCCCTGGCCATCATACAGAGACATCCCCTGGCCATCATACAGGACACTCCCTGGCCATCATACAGAGACACTCCCTGGCCATCATAAGAGACACTCCCTGGCCATCATACAGAGACACTCCCTGGCCATCATACAGAGAACACTCCCTTGCCATCATACAGAGACACTCCCTGGCCATCATACAGAGAACACTCCCTGGCCATCATACAGAGAACACTCCCTGGCCATCATACAGAGAACACTCCCTGGCCATCATACATACAGAGACACTCCCTGGCCATCATACAGAGAAAACTCCCTTACCATCATACAGAGACACTCCCTAGCCATCATACAGAGGACACTCCCTGGCCATCATACAGAGAACACTCCCTTGCCATCAGACAGAGAACACTCCCTGGCCATCATACAGAGACATTTCCTGGCCATCATACAGAGACACTCCCTGGCCATCATACAGAGACAATTCCTGGCCATCATACAGAGAACACTCCCTGGCCATCATACAGAGAACACTCCCTTGCCATCAGACAGAGAACACTCCCTGGCCATCATACAGAGACACTCCCTGGCCATCATACAGAGACACTCCCTGGCCATCATACAGAGACACTCCCTGGCCATCATACAGAGACACTCCCTGGCCATCATACAGAGACACTCCCTGGCCATCATACAGAGACACTCCCTGGCCATCATACAGAGACACTCCCTGGCCATCATACAGAGAACACTCCCTGGCCATCATACAGAGAACACTCCCTTGCCATCAGACAGAGACACTCCCTAGCCATCATACAGAGACACTCCCTGGCCATCATACAGAGAACACTCCCTTGCCATCAGACAGAGACACTCCCTAGCCATCATACAGAGACACTCCCTGGCCATCATACAGAGAACACTTTATTCTACTGATTTCAGTTGGCTGCTATTTACTGAGGACTAATGCAGTAGCAGAAGATACAGCTCACGATAGATACATGCATGAAACGCTTTTAGTTATGTTATTGTCACATGTTTTATTTATCTCTCTCTCTCTCTCTCTCTCTCTCTATCTATCTCTCCTCTCTCTCTCTCTCTCTCTCTCTCTCTCTCTCTCTCTCTCTCTCTGTCTCTATCTCTGTCTCTCACTCTCTCTCTGTCTCAATTCAATTCAGTTTAAGGGCTTTATTGGCATGGGAAACATGTTTACATAATAAACAATACAGAAATTAACAATAAACATTACACTCACAAAAGTTCCAAAAGAATAAAGACATTGTCTGTCTGTCTGTCTCTCTCTCTCTCTCTCTCTCTCTCTCTCTTTTTCTCTCTCTCTCAGGGTACGAAGGGAGAGGTCGGCATCTCTGGTGAGCAGGGAATCCCAGGACCCCCGGTAATGACCTTCATCTACCTATGACTGATTCAACATGCACAATGTTATGTAAACATTATAGTAAAGCAATATGGTCAGAGCACAGATGTTGTTAGAATGTTGTGAGAATAAAATACAGATGTTAAGCCACTTTTACTCATGCAACATTGACATAATATCATTTATTTCAACTCTCACTTTCTCTCCATCTAATAGGGTCCTATGGGATTGAGGGGTTACCCAGGAATGATGGGCCCCAAGGGAGAGGCGGTGAGTTAAAATACACCTCTCTATCTCCTTTACCACACTCTCTCTATCCACCACACTTGGCACTCCACTACCTCTCCTCCTCCCCCGGTTTGTTTCTATCTGCATAATAAACACTATCTGTTACCTTCTAAGGGGACATATGGAAAGAATCCAAACTCTGTCCTCTCTCTCACTCCCTCCATGTCTCTGTCTCTGTCTCTCTCTCTCTTTTCTCTCATGCACTCTCTATCTCTCTCTTTCTCTCTCTCGCTCTCTAATGAGAACGGCTTGTCTGGGACCACTGTTCCTCTGTCTGTAGTTAATGATCCAGGAAGGCCATCCATCTTAGCGTTAGTATTAGCTTTATTAGCCAAGTTAGCACCCAGGCTAGGTGCCAAGCAGAATGGCTGGCTGTTGGTGTGTAGCTCATATTAACCAAAAGCACTAATCGCTAAGTGCTAATCATCCTTTTATCACGGTGGTTAGCATGTTTGCGCTCGTTAGCATGCCCCATAGACACTGATGGAGATGATAATAACTTAAAGAACAACAACCTGTGGGGATGTGTTACACTTGTTAAAGTACCGCTATCTCCTTCTGAAAGATATCAATCAAATCAAATCAAATTGTATTTGTCACATGCGCCGAATACAACAGGTGTAGACCTTACAGTGAAATGCTTACTTACAAGCCCTTAACCAACAATGCAGTTTTAAGAAAAAAAAGATTTAAAAAAGAAATGATTAAAGAGCAGCAGTAAAATAGCAGCAGTGAGGCTATATAAAAGGAGTACTAGTACAGAGTCAATGTGTGGGGTCACAGGTCAGTCAAGGTAATTGAGGTAATATGTACATGTAGGTAGAATCACAGTGACTATGCATAGATAATAAAAAGAGAGTGGCAGCGGCGTAAAAGAGTGGGTGGGTGGGGTTGTGATGCACTGGGCCATACGCACTACACTCTGTAGTGCCTTGCAGTCGGAGGCTGAGCCGTTGCCATACCAGGCAGTGATGCAACCAGTCACGATTCTCTCGATGGTGAGGCTGTAGAACTTGTTGAGAATCTGAGGACCCATGCCAAATCTTTTCAGTCTCCTGAGGGGGAATAGGCTTTGTCGTGCCCTCTTCACGACTGTCTTGGTGTGTTTGGACCATGATAGTTTGTTGGTGATGTGGACACCAAGGAACTTGAAGCTCTCAACCTGCTACACTACAGCCCCGTCGATGAGAATGGGGGCATGCATGGTCCTCCTTTTCCTGTAGTCCACAATCATCTCCTTTGTCTTGATCATGTTGAGGGAGAGGTTGTTATCCTGGCACCACACGGCTAGGTCTCTGACCTCCTCCCTATAGGCTGTCTCATCATTGTCGGTGATCAGGCCTACCACTGTTGTGTCGTCGGCAAACTTAATGATGGTGTTGGAGTCATGCCTGGCCATGCAGTCATGGGTGAACAGGGAGTACAGGAGGGGACTAAGCACGTAGCCCTGAGGGGCCCCCGTGTTGAGGATCAGCATGGCAGATGTGTTGTTACCTACCCTTACCACCTGGGGGGTGACCCGTCAGGAAGTCCAGGATCCAGTTGCAGAGGGAGGTGTTTAGTCCCAGGGTCCTTAGCTTAGTGATGAGCTTTGAGGGCACTATGGTGTTGAACGCTGAGCTGTAGTCAATGAATAGCATTCTCACGTAGGTGTTCATTTTGTACAGGTGGGAAAAGGCGGTGTGGAGTACAATAGAGATTGCATCACCTGTGGATCTGTTGGGGAGGTATGCAAATTGGAGTGGATCTAGGGTTTCTGTGATAATGGTGTTGATGTGAGCCATGACCAGCCTTTCAAAGCACTTCATGGCTACCGACGTGAGTGCTATGGGTCTGTAGTCATTTAGACAGGTTACCTTAGTGTTCTTGGGCACAGGGACTATGGTGGTCTGCTTGAAACATGTTGGTATTACAGACTCAGACAGGGACAGGTTGAAAATGTCAGTGAAGACACTTTCAAGTTGGTCAGCGCATGCTCGGAGAACACGTCCTGATGCTCTCATGCATGCTTCAGTGTTGCTTGCCTCGAAGCGAGCATAGAAGTCATTTAGCTCGTCTGGTAGGCTCGTGTCACTGGGCAGCTTGCAGCTGTGCTTCCCTTTGTAGTCTGTAATAGTTTGCAAGCCCTGCCACATCCGACGAGCGTCGGAGCCGGTGTAGTATGATTCAATCTTAGTCCTGTATTGACGCTTTGCCTGTTTGATGGTTCGTCAGAGGGCATTGCGGGATTTCTTATAAGCGTCCGAGTTAGAGGCCCGCTCCTTGAAAGTGGCAGCTCTACCCTTCAACTCAGTGCGGATGTTGCCTGTAATCCATGGCTTCTGGTTGGGGTATGTACGTACGGTCACTGTGGAGACAACGACATCGATGCACTTATTGATGAAGACATTGACTGATGTGGTGTACTCCTCAATGCCATCGGAAGAATCCCGGAACATATTCCAGTCTGTGCTAGCAAAACAGTCCTGTAGCTTAGCATCTGCATCATCTGACCACTTCTTTATTGACCGAGTCACTGGTGCTTCCTGCTTTAGCTTTTGCTTGTAAGCAGGAATCAGAAGGACATCATTATTTTCAGATTTGCAAAATGGAGGGCGAGGGAGAGCTTTGTACGCGTCTCTGTGTGTGGAGTAAATGTGGTCTAGAGTTTTTTTTCCTCTGGTTGCACATTTAACATGCTGGTAGAAATTAGGAAAAACTGATTAAAATTTCCCTGCATTAAAGTCCCCATCCACTAGGAGCGCCGCCTCCGGATGAGCGTTGTCCTGTTTGCTTATAGCCTTATACAGCTCATTGAGTGCGGTCTTAGTGCCAGCATCGGTTTGTGTTGGAAATAGACATCTATGAAAAATATAGATGAAAACTCTCTTAGTAAATAGTGTGGTCTACAGCTTATCATGAGATACTCTACCTCAGGTGAGCAAAACCTAGAGACTTCCTTAGTATTAGATTTGGTGCACCAGCTGTTGTTCACAAATAGACACAGACCGCCACCCCTTGTCTTACCGGAGGCGGCTGTTCTATTTTGCCGATGCAGCGTAAACCCTGCTAGCTGTATGTTATTCATGTCATCGTTCAGCCACGACCCGTTGGTAGGATATTCGTGAACGTAGCTCATCTATTTTGTTATCAAATGATTGTACGTTGGCTAATAGGACTGATGGTAGAGGCAGATTACCCACACACCGTCGGATCCTTACAAGGCACCCCGACCTATGTCCCCGATATCTCCGTCTCTTTCTCCTGCGAATGACGGGGATTTGGGCCTTGTCGGGTGTCTGAAGTAAATCCTTTGCGTCCGACTCGTTAAAGAAAAAATCTTTGTCCAGTACGAGGTGAGTAATCACTGTCCTGATATCCAGAAGCTCTTTTCGGTCATGAGAGACGGTGGCAGAAACATTATGTACAAAATAAGTTACAAATAACGCGAAAAATCACACACAATAGCACAATTGGTTAGGAGCCCGTAAAACGACAGCCATCTCCTCCGGCGCCATTATCTACTTTCAGACAAAGCCTACCTTCAGACATAGCTTACCTTCAGACATAGCTTACCTTCCGACATAGCTTACCTTCAGACATACACTACCGTTCAAAATGTTGGGGTCACATAGAAATGTCCTTGTTTTCGAAAGAAAAGTAATTTTTTTGTTCATTAAAATAACATCAAATTGATCAGAAAAACAGTGTAGACATTGTTAATGTTGTAAATGGCTATTGTAGCTGGAAATGGCAAATTTTTAATGGAATATCTACAGCAACCATCAGTCCTGTGTTCCAATGGCACGTTGTGTTTGCTAATTCAAGTTTATCATTTTAAAAGGTTGATTGATCATTAGAAAGCCAATTTGCAATTATGTTAGCACAGCTGAAAACTGTTGTGCTGATTAAAGAAGCAATACAACTGGCCTTCTTGAGACTAGTTGAGTATCTGGAGCATCAGCAATTGTGGGTTCGATTACAGGCTCAAAATGGCCAGAAACAAATAACTTTCTTCTGAAACTCGTCAGTCTATTCTTGCTCTGAGAAATGAAGGCTATTCCATGCGAGAAATTGCCAAGAAACTGAAGATCTCATACAACGCTGTGTACTACTCCCTTCACAGAAGAGCGCAAACTGGATCTAACCAGAATAGAAAGAGGAGTGGGAGGCCCCGTTGCACAACTGAGCCAGAGGACTAATACATTAGAGTGTCTAGTTTGAAGGTCCTCAACTGGCAGCTTCATTAAATAGTACCCGCAAAACACCAGTCTCAACATCAACAGTGAAGAGGCGACTCCGGGATGCTGACCTTCTAGGCAGAGTTGCAAAGCAAAAACCATATCCCATCTTAATCTTTTATTTTTATTGGTCAGTCTGAGATATGGCTTTTTTTCTGGCCAGTTTTATTG